TTAAAAACATGCATCTTGGGTGGCGGAGCTAGCTGCAAAACAGAGCGGTCACACTCTCACGAACTCCGTGCTTATGCTCTTAAATATTGTGGTATTAAAGCAGAATTGGTGCCAGGACCCGACAGCAAACTGCCACTCTACTGCCTAAGGGTGCAATGGGTCAAAAAAAATAAGAAACAGCGGGCAGACATCTGTGAATTGCTGTGGGGCCCTCAAAAGCCTGCATGGGACAAAATGACGCCGGGAGACGAGGGCTCCTAGTACTCCTCCGAAGATCGTTCCTACAACCCTGGGGAGAGAGCCTTGTTCGACCTGTCAGCAGTGCCAAAATCGAAGTCACCGGCTACCGGGGACCAGGTCACAGCACTCAACTTAAAGATATGCTCTCCAAACTGAGAGCGAACATAGCGGCTGACATGACCTATTATAAAGATGCCATAGAAGGTGCCCTGACCAAAATAACCCTCCTGGAGGCAACAACGACCACACATGACTCTAGGCTCACCTCCGTGGAACGCAAACTGGCAGAACTCCAACAGAAACAGAAAGCCACGGCAGACAGAACTGAGGCTCTGGAAGATCAAAGATGGTGTTACAACTTAAAAGTGCAGGGAATCTTGAATCTCGGACTCTGTGAGCTTGACAGACCTGCCGCACTATGTGCGCCGCCTGCTAAATACGCTACTACCACCGAAACAAGCCAAAGCAGTTAAGATTGAGGGCATGTTCCGACTGCCAAAACCGGCGTCCACACCATCAGAGGCGACAGCAGACCTGATAATCAGGTTCCAATCCCTACAGGACGAGATCTCGATTTGCGCAGCTGCTCATGGACACACTTCCCTGATGTTTGAAGAGGTCCCTATTGCTGTTCCCAGACCTCACAAGAGGCACTATCGCTTGGCGGAAGACCCTGCAGCCACTACTGATGACCCTACGAGCTAAGGACATATCATACAATTGGAGGTACCCGAAGGCCCTGTCCTTTACACACCAGGGCATGACATACAAGGCTTCGAGTTTTCAAGAGCTGGAATACCATCTGCAACGCCTGAGCCTGCACGGACCAGTGGGGACAGCAAAAAACCCCTCCACTATACCGTAGTTCACCCCCCCGCTCCACACAATGCAAAGTGCATGCCAGGGAAGTAACCTGAACAACACCGCTCTAGTAGTTGGACTCCCAAACCCATGACAGGTCCACCAACAAACACTACCACGAACCGCATTTATATTTAAGTTGCCACAGGCAGTTTTTTATTTGTTTATTTTCTTGCACCGCATACATTTGGTTAATTATATTTATGTTTCCTCTGGGCCCACTCATAAGGCTTATACTGCGCCCTTAGTTACTATAACGGAAGCCACCCACTCACCCCCTGCAGACGCAGGGAGGGAATCTAATCCTTTAGGGGTTCTGCTACACATGTTCGCCTTTCCTGACCCATACTGTTCTACCCTTTTGGGGGAACATACTGAAACCCCCTAACAGTCTACTTTCGTGTAATTTTCATGTCTTTTCAAACTAATTAGCATACCCCATGGTGTTTTCTCTACCAGACACCACCAATGCTCATAACCATGGACACACTAGCCTGATTCCTCTAACTCTATAAAAGTGCCTGAATCTAACTGCTATACATTTGGTCCTTTTGTTTGACATGTGCTTGCATTTGCTGTTGTGGCAAAGCAGGCTTTATTGTTATACTCTGCACAATAAAAATAAAGAATATTAAAAAAAAAACGCATCTTGGACCATATCAACAACATAAAGGATTTTTATCACATTCAGTCCCTGTACATTGCAAGGCATGCCCCTTTTTTACATTCAAAGGTCTTAAATGTATTGGGATCGAAAGAGTACTACCAAATTGGAGGCGGGGAGGGGTGATAGGGTTAAAAAACTGTCAGTGAGAAACCTATTGGATCCATGAATTGCGAACACTGGAACCTAGGGGACTGAATGTTGGTATAGACCTCGTCGGAATTTGTTATAGAATTTCTCTGTTTGATAACTATTATAAGGATCATGGAGATACGTGGATATTTCATAGAGTTAGCTATCCCTTATCACATTATTTCATAACATCATTTTCAATACCTTTTTAGGTACAAAAAAAATGTGTGAACCATGTTGATAATAAATGGGTATGTGTGGCACCCACAGCTTATGTTATAACATATATGAATTCATTGACCAGTTAAAATGATTCTGAGATTGGAGAATAAATTAATTGTGTAGCTATACACTTTAAATCAATTGCTGTACACTTAAAACTTATAATTAAGATAACTATGAATATCATATATTAAGTCACTTTGTAAAATTTATTAAAAAACATTTTCTTTCACATATTCAAATTAATATTCCAGGGAATTGATACTTGAAAGTAATTGCTTTCTTCCCTTAGAGGATGGACTCTCCTCACCAGAGCATGATAAACTAATGTCTTTCTTCATCTGTTGAATGGGTTATCTAATTGCAGAAAATTACAGGGGGAAATCATATTACTTTCCCGGTATTCTATCAAATTCCCCTACCTCGTGAAAATCCCCTACCCTCGTCACTTCCGGTGAGGGGAATCAGCTGGATCCTGTGCTGCACATGCGTGCTAGCACTCCTGCTACTCCTCCACAGCAAGGTCCTGGAAGGTAAGTAAAACTAGTTTTACACTTTCATTATAGTTAGTGCATTCACTAAGCTTAGGCACACTGGACATTTAGAGTTAAGTGAGGGTTCAAATTAGGGTTAGGTAAGTGATTCTAACCTGTGTCACACTCTATTCTTACCCTAACCCTTGGGGTAAGTATTAAAATAAAGTGTGAAAAGGCACAATTTAGTGATATTCCCCTAATGTGAAATATCACTAAATATGAACAAGTCCCTAATCCTAATTTGAACCCTAACATTAACCCTAAATGTCCCATGTCCTAAGATTAGCGAATGCACTAACTATAATGAAAGTGTAAAACTAGTTTTACTTACCTTCCAGGACCTTGCTGTGGAGGAGTAGCAGGAGTGCTAGCACGCATGTTCAGCACAGGATCCAGCTGATTCCCCTCACCGGAAGTGACGAGGGTAGGGGATTTTCACGAGTAGGGAATTTTGATAGAACACCGGATCCACGGTGGAACGCATGGCCATCTTGGATCACTAGATCAGTTGGGATGCACGGAAGTGCTCGTTGTTACTTCTGGTTTCTGCTGATCGGATGAATTTGAATCAGCTGAGAGCGAGAGATGGAGATGCTCGTTACAACATACTGACTTACAGGTGAAGTGGAGAGTGGACCCCCCAATGGGATTAGAAAGAAAAGAAAACACCCACTGGAGCACCAATGAACCTGAGGGACTAGCAATATTTAAATGGACTCATGGGAGGGTGGGTTTAGGCTGCATTTGGGAGCATTGTAATTGTCACTGCTTTTATTCATAATTTGGTCTCTGAGGAAGTCCCAATGTTGGGACAAAACGCGTAAGACCGATATTTTATACTTTATCGGATAAATCCCATTTTATATGCCTATCGACCTTTCGGAGTCCTGTTTGGTTCCTGAATAATAGTGATATCTGATCCTGAGAAGGATTATTATCCCCCCATCTACTTCGGGGAAGGCACCTTTGGAGCACTTCTTATTTCAACATACCAGCTGAATCCCATGTGTGTTTTGTATATTTCTATGGCTTGTCAGGACCACTATTTGGGAGGGGATTTGTGGGATGCTGTTCCTTTACTATTGATAAGTATTATTTTATTACTTTTGTACCTATTGTATTTTTTGTGTTGTATATTTAAATGTTTACCATATTACCATTCTACCTTCTATCCTCTTATCTATACTTAAGATATGTAGCCTCCCTTTTGCAAATTCTATTTATTAAATCATGTACCATTTAGTAGCAATTTTTGATCAGCTTCTAGTTTATTTATATCCTTCAAGAAACTTGGTTTCCCAGTACTATACACAATATAGATGCACAAAATGTCCATATTTTCCATCACCATTTGGTAAATGCATGTATTGGCTGTTATTGTTCTAATGTTATGTTAAATAAAATAAGGTGTAAAAGCAGCAAAACCACTAAGGTGCACTGTAGTGATTATGGTGCAAGGAGTGCCCTGGTGCCCCCATTTCATGTAGTGAAACGGTTATAGAACGGTTTAACTTCTTACTCATGGTCTGCTGGACACCACTCCCACATCCACTTCTACAGCTCTCAGTGAAAGCTAAGCCTTGGTGGTGTAGGGCATAGCCCATTGACAGCAAACAGTGGACACTTTCAGCCAATTAGCTAGCCTTGCACAGCACTGCAGGGTTTAGCTTCCAGCTTTCTGACTGAAATAGTGGTGGCAGGGAGTGATACCCAGCATCCCCAGGTAAGACGTCGAACTGTTCTAAAACATTTTGATTACTTACAGTGGGGGGAGGGGTCAAAATATAACTAATACAGTACATTACAGTGTTACTCGGAGTGTTCCTTTGACACTTTCAGAACAAAATATATATATAAAAGGATGTAGTTAAGGACTAGGAGTGAGGTGCAGCTGGCACAGAAAATGTGTTTACTACCCTGGTCAGCCATGAATTTTAGAGGAGAAAGGGATAACACTGAAGAAAAATGTCATGGGAAAAGATTTGCACATATTAGGGATTGATGAGGTGTAAAACTTTTAGAATGGTGTACAAACATGTTAAAATGATAGTATGGATTTTTTTTTGTATGGTTGAGGGGAAGAATCACTATTAAAAAGGACAATGGATGTGGGTGAAAATTCTTGAAAAAGGAAAAATAAATGAATATGTAAATGTTTCAAAAATACCCAAAAGCTGTTATTTCACTACAAACTATATTGATGCCAGGAAAGGAGATGGACTTTGTGCACTAAGAGAGCTATTACATTTTTCAATAAGAACGTTTTTGGAAACAGGGTCTCATTGCACCATAATGTCTACATAGTAATAACAAAGAGAAAGTTACCTTCGCTCTGGCCCAAATCCCTATGTACATTTAAACAAAATGGAGGCTCTTTAGTTTTATTCCACTGGCCATTTGAATATTCAAATGGCCATTGATATTAACTAAAGAGCCTCCATTTTGTTTGGATGTACATAAGGATTTGGGCCAGAGCGAAGGTAACTTTCTATTTGTTATTACTATGTATTTTAAGCTGTTAGATACTAAGCGCGGTGCTTTATTTTTATGTTTGTATATGATGTTTGTATCACACAGCTATGTTACATTGCTGACACCCATGTTTGTCTTATTAAGAGTTTATAAGTATGTAGGGGTAGTACCCCTTCCTGTCTCAACAGAGAAATTTGCCTTTTAGCTGATACCAGCAAGGTTATTTATATGTGTAGAAGCCCGATAAAGGGTTAAATGTGAAAGGGTTTATAAAATTCCCCTTCCTGTTTCACTGGAGATTTTTGGCTGATATCAGCAAATCTAAAGGCTTGTGTAGGACTCCACTTTAGAGACTTGCCTTGACATGGCAGGTGAGCTTATATTCAAATGGCTTTAGAATGGAACTAAAGAGCCTTCATTTTGTTGGGATGTACATAGTGATTTCGGGAAGAGCACAGGTAACTTTGTCTTTGTTTTTACTATGTATTTTGAGCTGTTAGATACTAAGCTACTGCTGCAGTAAGCGCGGTGCTTTATTTTTGTGTTTGTCCATAATTACTACAACCAACTTAAGGGACAAGTGGCATCAAATGTTCATGTCCCATTTAATAAAATTTTATTACATTTAATTAAACTTAATGTTTTTTTTATAATGTATATTAAAAAAAATTTTGAGCGCACACAGAACAAAATCAGCAGCAGACAAGCAGACATGTATATTTATCTATGTAGAATTGCAGTCTCATGTCATGAATGTGGGCTGGATTTACATCATAAGCATCTGTAGACACTGAATTCTCAAGCCCTCCCCAAATTGCCTCCCCCCTCTCCCCCTATTTTATAATAAAAGTACCTGGCTGTAAAATATAATCAATAAAAAAAGCTTGTACATATGCACACATATACATAAAAAATTAATGTGTGTGTATCGTGTGTGTAAATGTCTGAGTGCATGTTTGTATGTACAGTGTGTGTGGGGGTAACAGTGTGTTTGTTAATATGTGTGTTTTGGGATGGGTGTGTGTGTTTGTGTGCAAAAGAGTTGGTAGTAGTATGTATCAATAGAACTTTAAAAATAAAATAAATTAAAAGAGTTATGCAACCCTATTGCTCCCCATTGCTGGGAATAGCCCACAAAGAAATTAAAAGGATTCTATAGATATAAACACAACAACTTTAGCCTAATGAAGCAGTAAGGCATGCCCCTGCAGTCTCACTGCTCAATTGCCTATTTCATAATCAGCCAAAAATCAAACAAAAATGAAAATGAGGACATAGGGAATGGAATCACCACTTGAATAATATAGCCCTATTCATATTGAATGCTTAGTTTATTAATTATGACAACTCTTTGAATGTACTGAAATAGACTGTACAAAAATTGGGATTGGGGTTGATTGGGAATGATCCATAGGGATCTATCTCAATAACATTTTCTTAAATATATCAGTACAAGTCATAATTATTAGACTAAGCAGTCAACATATACAAGTAATGTGGACAGTGTGTGTAGCAGCCTGTGTAACAGTGTGGAGAGTATCAGCATCAGTGGGAAACAGTGTAGATAGAAAGACAGAGAGAGAGTGTGTGTGTGTGTGTGTGCGTGCGTGCGTCTAGGTATGTATGTCTATCTGTCTGTTATTTCTGACCTATCCCAGTTCTTTCCTTCTCCTGTCCAGTCCCTCTCTCAGAGTACTGCAGTCAGCAGACACAGAACAGGAGGTAGGGAGATGGTGTTTAACAGACAGTGCATGTGCCCCCTACAGGACAGGCTACTTTGCCTAAAGGGATGTCCAGCCCTAAATGCATGTACAGTGCACAAGAACACCAGGGTGCCTTTGATAACTAAATGTGGTCTAAAATGACCTCTGGTCCACAACACAAAGTCCAGTGCAGTGATGTAGCAGTAGCTGGCTTGCACAGTGGCGGCTAGTGGATTTTAAAGATGGTATGACAGCCACACAGCCACTATGGTATGACAGCGTTTCCGCGGCACTGACCAAGTAAAAGTCACATATCACGGAAGCCCAATAGGAAATCATTGATTGAGTGTTTTCCAATGAGGATTTTACTGATCACTAAATTATCTTTTTGACTGAAATTTGTCAAAAAGTAATACATGAGGTTCAAATCCCATATCTCCCAGCATTTCAATTGGATGAAGAGGACATTTTAATTTTAGGGGTGGGAGTAAGGTGGCCAGGGCCGGTGCTGTTCTGAAAAATTTTAGGAGATTTACTAATAACAATTAATGCAACTAAAATGTAATTCAGAACAAAAGCAATGCATTTTATTTACACAGACTTAATTCTAAACACATTTACTGTAGTTTAACCCCTTAAGGACACATGACATGTGTGACATGTCATGATTCCCTTTTATTCCAGAATTTTGGTCCTTAAGGGGTTAAAGAAACATTACTGTGTTTTTACTGCTGTGGAGCTCAGTTATATACTCAGACACACAAACAATATGGAGCATCTCCCAAAGAGGGACATAAGGATAGAAAATAGGGACAGAGGGGTTTGGGATTAAACTAGGGACTGTCCTCTTAAGTAGGGTCATTTGGGAGGTATGAAATCCATCATGGAAAAAAAGTTATTTAGCATACATACTAAACATTTCACAATTAAAGAAATCTTCTTGACTTTGAACAGGGAAATGTTCACTGTTCTTTAGGAGATGCTTTCACGTGTCCAAAGTCAAAATGGTTATTTAAAAAACAAAAAACAAAAGGCAGGAATGTCATTTATATTGTTTCCTGGTGCCTGCATAGAATATTAGAACATTTTAAGAATTCATAATGAAAAAGTCATACAAATTTAAAACAAGAATAAGCTATTTACAACGAGAGAAAAAATGATTGGTAGTATACATATTCAGGGTGCATGTTAGAGTCAAACATTACAAGATGCATGTGAGGTTCCTAACATTGCAAATTGTACTGGATTCGTTTTTTTAGTGAGTTCAATGGCAAAATTTAGGTTATTAATTAGGCTTTATCCCAAATGGAGACTTTTTGCATACATTTTGGAGTTTTAATTAAGTTTGATGTTTGGTGAATAAATCCATTATAACTTAAATATTGCAAATTTTGAAATTCTTCTCTAAAACTTTTGCAGAAAACAATGTACAATGTAAAAAAAACACAACATAAAAATGAAAGAAAGTGAGAAAGTATTAAACTTTTTAATTATTAAGTAATCATATAGTAGTTATCCATAAATAAGTTGATCTTATGCTTGTTTCCTTCTTTCCTGTAATTTCACAATTCTATATCCATTACTGAAGAACTAAAATGAACAAAAATAACATTCTTAATAATAGTGATTCTTTAATAAAATGACTGAACATTATTTACCTTATAGATTTCTGTAACTGTGTGGTGAAGGCAGTCTGGAGATAGTGAATCAGTTGAGAGGATCGCTTTCTTTTTCTATTACCTTCTGTCCTGTGAATGGATTGCTAAAATAGTCTCTTTCCTTACCATGGCATTGCCTTGTCTGTTAGAAATCTGATCCCAGCTGCATTGTGAATTTCTCAGCCTCATGCATGTCATCCCCTGGTGTATCACTATTTCTCTCTATATGGTGCTTGATTACAAGGTGCCCTTTGTAATGGAAAGATGGTATACTGTTTTACACATTCATTGTACCTAAAATATCCCAAGTTGGGACACGGGTTAGGCTTGTGGTTACTCCATCATTCCTCACACCCAAATTGTACAGCTTGCATATAGTTTTCAGCAACTTTAAGAATAAACTCTAGAATGCATGCTGTTCTAAAATATAATTCTAAAAAAAATAAAAAAAAATAAAAAAAAATACTGTAATGGTAAGACCCCACCTTGAATATGCAGTGCAAGTTTGGGCACCAGTATTAAAGAAAGATATTGCAGATGCGAGCTTTAAAATTAATAAGGGGGATGGAAAACATTAAATATAAAGGAAAACTGCATTTGTTTTCTTTAGAAAAAAGGCACATCAGAGGATATATGATAGCACTATACAAATATAATCATAATAGAGATGTAGAACTGAACTCAATCCCAAGCAATATGTATCTGGGTGCAACCAGGCCAGTCCCAGTACCAGGGACCAAATACTTGATAAAGAAAAATAGAAAAAAGGTCCAGGCACTCTAGGATACAAAACAGCAAATTTATTGAACCCACTGCCACTCAGAACGTTTCAACCATGTAGGGTTCAATAAATTTGCCGTTTTGTATCCTGGAGTGCCTGGACCTTTTTTCTATTTTTCTTTATCAAGCACTATACAAATGACAGCACACCGTTTGTTCCATGGCTTCTTGTGCAGTGATTTTGGCAGGCCTGTCATACCTCCACTGAATTAGGGACACCTATAACATAGTAGTAAACACATCATTTAAGCCTGCATTTTGACAGTACTTCGATTATATATATTTCACGTGTGCCTCTAAATAAAAAATAGTGATTTAGAACAGTGGCTCTCAAATTCTGTACATTGCATTCAACTGAACATTCTCAATTGGGCACCAGTTTTAAAGAAGAATAGAACAGAACCGAAGTAGGCTACAAAATTAAAAAAGGGGATGGAAGACATTAGTTAGGATGAAAAACTAGAAAAACTGCATTTGGTTTCTACAGCACAGATAGCATTGTAGAAATATATTGAGGGTCAGTACAAACTTCTATGTGGTGACCTGTTCATTAGCAGGAATATACTGTACAACAGACAAGAGGTCATCAACTGAGGCTGCAAGAAAAATGCTACAACAAATCAAAGGGTTCTTGTCTAATTCTGTGCCCAAATAGGATTGTTTTATTACATTCTGTAGACATTTAAAAATTGTGTTTTTCGACATCTATTACATCAGCAGCACAAAAAGATGTATTTAAAGATTGAACTTGATTGACATGTCCTTTGTATATATCTAAATTACTATTTAACGCTATAAATATAATTAAAATAAATTCTGTAAAATCCCAATTTTGAGGGTAAAGAAC